CCACGACTCCACCAAACTCACATGATGTGCCGCCGAAGCGTACCAAAAAAATTCAATTAGGTATGGTGTAAATATATTGTTTGCTTTGTCTTCTTTTCTTTAACATTGCTGTTAAGGGAACCTTAACCGGGTGTTCCTGTGAACACCTTCCTACCTTAGAACAAAAACTTAAACGTAACTGTGCCGTAGATAAGAGCGGCATCCTATAATTGTCTTTTATTCCCATTATCTTTCTAGTAAAAAGAAGTACAGTATCAGTATTTTTTTTTTTGCTTTTGTTGAAGCATTAACTTGACATGAAAATGTATTCTAATCAAACTTCCAAGGAAGTCTGATATTTCAGGACGACTGTATTTTGGGGCTAGAGTTTGAGCACGAGTTTTTGTTTTAGGGTTTTTTTTGGGTGTTGAAAGTTTTCAACTTTCAAAATGTTGAGAGCAATCAGGCAATTCCTTTAGTTTTAGTTTGACTACGATTTGAGATTGGCTGAGTGGTTGAATTGGTAACTAATTGGTTTGGTTTTGGTTTTGGTTTTCGACACTCAATTAAAAATCGCTCAAGTATATAACTTTTAAGCTAAGTAATTATAATGTAAAGATACAATAACTTGTTGCATTTAACCTACTATAAATGAAAACTAACCATTCTCAAGTTAACCGTATTGTTATTTAGGATGAAAACGGTAACTCGAGCACATCAAATGAAAGATCTAACCAACTGCAGAGTATGACAAAAGCGCAGTCAACACTCGTTAACCAAAACACAAAAAATAAAATACATATTGCTTGAAAACGATCACAAATGAGTCATCTACTTCAAGAAATATCTAGGCAGTCCAACAACCTGAAACGACAAACAACAACAACAACAAAAAAGAAATTAAACAAACAAACAAACAAAAAACAAAACACGAACAATTATGAACAGCTAAGGAATTCTCCCAAATCTTCATTAAATATAGTAAAAGGTCCCGAGAAATATCAATGATTTTGACCCAGATGTCTTGACCAAACGCTTTGGTCACTAACCTTAATATCCTAGAACACGAAAACACTCACATAATTCCTTGGAAAGCTGGACGTTATGCTAATGTCTCAACCGTTACTTAATTACTTACGGCACAGGGTCACAAACCTTATGAATCAATGCCACAGGAATGGAGAGCAGAAGAGGCGGTATGTCGGAAAGTTTATCATACGATTGTTCTTTATCTTCTATCAGCCAACGCAGCCATGCAAAGCGTTTTTCTTCATACGGCGGGTAACGCATGCTGAAAGAAAACTCATTCTGTAAGAACCAACATTATCGTTAGCGTTACTTAATGTGCAAGTTGTCACGAGGTATCGTGTCATGCAAGCTTTCTACTCGACGAGAACATTTGCCGTTTTTAGACCTGACTTGAATAATCCAGCTTCACTAGTGAAACTATTTCCGCATCTATCAGGTATCTATCCATGCATCTAACTTAGGCAAAAGAAAAAAAAGAGATCCCACGGCCACAACGCAAAACCAAAGTCATGAAATCTTTGACTTCAATGGCGCAATCGAATAAAAGTGAAAAAGATAAAAACAACAACAACAACAACAACAAAACAACAATAAGTACAGTCTAGTAACGGATACATTCTAAAATAAAGAACTTCCGTTACCCAGTCAATCAGGTGACTTCTTAAACCCGACGAAGGCCGAATTTTTTCGATTGAAAACGTCTTACAGCTGTACATGCACTCATTTGTTAAAAACGTCTTCTTAAACTGCTTACACAAGCCATATTTGATGTTCATGTTACTTGTGAGGATTTATAGTGTTTTAACAAATGACAGACAAAGTGGTAGGTAATGTAACTGTGGCATAAATAGCGGAAATATTTTACCTGTTAAATGACTCCATGGCTTGCTTTTTGAGGAGACAGGCTTTCTTGTGCGAGAAGGCATCAAACGAATACTTCCCATGATACGAACCCATGCCACTTCCTCCAACACCGCCAAATGGGAGCGTCCCAACTAACGGAAAACAGTTACAAAGAAAACGAATTCAGGGAGTGTTCCAGGTCTTCCAATGATGTAATGAAAATACTTTAAAGAATTTCAAGAATATCCCTCAAACAGCATCTTTACCCCGTATATCTTCGGGACCCCACTGGAACCATTACCAGTATGTTTATGTAATACAGTTGTTCGCACAGTCGTGAGTTGTAGCATTGGGCACTCAGAGAAACCATTAACATAATATGTCTGTATGCAGAAATATAGATTTAAAAATATAAGACGAGGTATACAGCCACATCGATAGGGAANAGAGACACAATTTGATGCCACTTTGAGCCGCGTTGTACATGAATGTCGTAAACACAACACAAAAAGGCCCACTCTGGGACCCAAATGTAAAGTCATTTTGAGCGATTTAACCAAAATTGGCCGGGAAATCGTGGCAACTCGCATTTTGGTCTGAGAGAAAAAGAATGTACAGAAGTGCGATAAAAAACTATGTTTGGATCTGTATAAAAGCGACAGTGTTACGCAAGAGTTTACCTGTCATTGATGAAGTCTATGGCGTCATCCAAGGATTCGACATCAACTATTGGTAACAATGGACCAAAAACCTGCCAACAAGTTACATAAAACAATGCACAAATGAGTGCTAGTAAAACACAAAATGATTGTTAACAGTCCAACATTCTAGCTGCACTGTTTACGGCAGTAACAGCGCTTAACAATTCAAATAGACATTTCCGCAAAACGACGGTAAACAGATAGTAATTTCTCATTCAGATAGGTGATTGGTTCCAGTGTCGCCCTATATTGGCCCATTATGGCATCATGGTCTTGCTTTTATACCGGCAGGGAAAGAAAATTCTTAAAAACCGATGGTAACATAAAAAGAGAAAACTCTCTAAAGGTAATACTGAGTGGCGGTCCAGTGCGTCTGTGTGTTACAGTGCCCCCTCTCCCGCCCCCCTTCTCCCCCTCCCTCCAACCTCCTAAATTGTGAAAGGACACTGGGTCATGGTCCCGAGCACATGAACACTAGGTGCTCGTTTAAAGCGGACATTTAACATCAGGTCACACTGTCATGACGCAGTCCCTAAAGTCCCCCTTGCGGAGCCTTCCAATACACATCTAATGTACCTCATTTTCCATGAGCGGGTCTGTAGGTTTGACTCCTGTTAGCACGGTTGGGGCAATATACTTTTCACTGTCATCTGTCTCGCCTCCAACAACGCACTTCCCACTGCTCATCAAGGTCTTTAAACGACTGTAAATATTACATGCATTAACTAGGTTAGAGGACTCAATAGTTAACTCAATGAGAAGAAAGTTATTTCCAAAACGAGCCTTCCACGAACTAGTCAGGCTTTCTGCAATTGACCAACAGGTAAATCCAAGAGATTTCAAAAAGATTAAACTCTATTTAAATAATGTGTATGCTGCGGAATGGTGATCAATTTATTAACAAGTAAAGGATTCAACAGCAACAACAACAACTACAAAAAACAAAAACAACAACAACGAAATAACCTTGGGAAATTTGTAAAAGATCATGAGTGTTCTTCAAAGCGAAGAAAACTCTGTTCCCAAATTTCAGTTGAAATCACAACAAACTATACTCTAACAGTTTAGTAATTGCCTGAAAAATCGTATTTAGTTTCCCTTCTAATACTCGTCTCGATAGCATCTACATACATGTAGTACGCTGCCAATTCGAAAATCTCACCTTTTCAACACTATGGAAAAGTGCAAAGTGGTAAAAGCGGAAAACAGAAAGCAAAGAGACACCAGTAAAGAAGCAAACGGGAAATGGAAAAATAGTAAATGGAGCTGCAGAAAGCGGAGGTGCATGTGAAATATTCTCTGTCACGAAGACTATGCAATGTAGGCAGGATTTAAGTTGGGAAACTATAATCTAATTATAGCTATTTTATGTAACTATTAACTCATCATCTTCTACCCTTCTATCCAGGGCTTCTAACAATGTTAAGGCTAATTTAAATATGATCGCTACGATGGCGCCGACGAAAACAAAACAAAACAGCGATCGCTTCGATCACGTGAAAACAACTCTATAGCGATATTTGACTTTATTATATAAACACCAGTGAAATACCAGGATTTTTCCTTTTACTAACCAATCATATCTTCATCGCGCGCAGTAAAAATACTATTTTTATCTTTCACACTGTGAAGATATCATTCCTTTTTGATGACATTTTTCTTTTGTACCTTTAACTACACTTAAATTTTTGATGTATGATCGAAACATCTTTGGATCTTCTTCGCTCACTCGTGAGATATCGAGTTGAACACTCGCAGATAAAATTCGTATCCACGCGCGGGCATGTAATATCCTCTATATCTCAAAGTTCGTAGGTATCGTTGCGTTCACGTGGAAGCCACTCTCCAGCGACTGTAACAATCGTCACGATACCAAAATGCAGAGCGTCGTTGTTTGATCCAGGTCCTTTCCGGCAATTTTCTTTCATTCTGTACTGAGTTTTGTGGTTTGTTTTGGTGTCATTTGGAAACTCTTCGCAATGATACAAAAACATTTTTCTGACTGCGCTCAACGATTGCAGTCATCGTAGCGATCATATCAAAACCAGCTTTTAAAGGCATCAAAACTTACTTGAAGTGCTTAATATTTATGATTCTAGCATAGTCTGGCGATTCCTTGGGGTCCTAGAAAAGGAAAACAAAACAACAGGCGATGAGTGACAGTTGTAAGCATTCTACTGAATCAGTGCTCAAGCTACACTCCGCTGTCATTGCAGTCAAGCAAGGACAACTTCACAGTCAAGGGGAAGCTCCTTTACAGAGCTAAGTAGTAGAATCAACTCGCTGGTAAATGCCACCAACATAATCATCTTGCAGTGCACATTTGAAAGTGTTACGCACCTTACTGTAGCCACCTACAGTGGGAAAGTTTTTCAATGGTTTTTGACAACTTTCTGATATCTTTTCGACAACTTCTGAAGGCTTCTGTTTCAAGTGGCCATTATCAAACTGCGATAGCTTGCCGCCAGTTGAGACATTTGAAATTCCCACAAGAGTCAAAGGTAAATTTGACATTTTAACATCTCTGCCCTCGTTAGTTCTCATGTTCTGATTGACTGATTCAAATAAAAGTCCATCAAAACAGTTGTCAGAAAGATGTCAAGTGGTACATGTAGCCTGCGAACAGGCTCCCGGCTCCCGGCTCCCGGCTCCCGGCTCCCGGCGAGGACGGAAAAAATTTTCGGCGAGCGTATCAGTCTTACCTCTCCATAAAAATCAAATATAGCTTCCTTGAAACGTCTGATCAACTCGTCCTGGATATCTGGGTGACATAACACGTAGTCTGGGGCAACACACGTCTAAAATTTGAGAAACATTACATTGCAAGTGAATATATATGAAAGATCATATACATGTACATGAACGGCAGAGAAAGATGTAAAGAAATGAGTGATCATGGCGGAACATACTGTACATAACTTAAGCAGCCGTGAAATTAAAGCCTGGAAAAAAATTCAGGCTTGAACAGAACTCGAACACACGACCTCAGCAATACCAGGCAGTGTTTTACCAACTGAGACCGCTCACTGCGTACAGTACCTTATTACATGAAATTTTCGCGACACGTTAATTTCGCGAATTTCGCGATTTAACAAAAATCGCGAAATTTAAGTGACGCGAAAATTAAATGTCACGAAATTAACATGATGCAAAAATTAAGTGACTCACATTACGTCAACAATAAAAAAAGCGACTCTATTACCATTACACACGTCTATAACAATCATTTTGAACTATTCTGTGGTAATGTTCTGGTCCTCTTCATCACTACTGCTTTCCGTCTCCACTCCAGGCAGCACTTCTTTTGTCCAATCCTCAAACTGTCCATTTACTGGCTCCTTGTAGTGCTGTTCCACTAGTTGCTTAAACATTTAATTTCAATTGCCTTGTAGACACTGTGAGAACATCTTTCTTGTTACTGTTTACATAATCAGTTGCGTTTCTGTTTATTTGGACGTTGTTGATTAAGTTGTTTGATCAAATTCAGGGACATCTTAAATAACATTGACAAAGAAATATAGCGTGTCTCACTCAAAAACGCGAAATTAAAGTGAGTCAAAACGCAAAATTTTCGCAAAATCACGAAATTAAGGTGTCGCGAAAATTTCATGCAATAAGGTATATTGGAAGTTGCGCTCCAAGTAATAATCATTATATTTACAAACATGACCTACAAGTAGTCTACACGTATATCAGAGAGCATTCCCATGCTCACAGGATCACACCTTACCTGTCCAGCATTCGCAAACTTTCCCCAAGCGATTCTTTTGGCAACCATCTCCAGGTCAGAGTCTTTGTCAATGTAACATGGACTAAAAACAATGTGATTAGAAAAGCAATCATTATGGAAACTGGGTTAGTTAAAAACAGGCTTGCAACTAACAATAACAATAACAATATTTATTATTTGTATTGCACCTTTTCTATAACCAGTTTCAAGCATCGAGCTCAGAATACAAAAAAAAAAAANACGGGCAAAACTTTCAGGCAAGCACTCACCACAAACCAATTTTGTAAAGATACCAAACCAACGGCATTCAAATTATTATTATCTTGAATTAAGAAGTACACAATACATGTGGGGAATGGAATGAGTGTAAGGCCCCCTTTGGATGCACTGCAGACCTATGATGTTTGCAAAATTAGTACCCAGGAGTATTGACAGAAGCTGACCAGTATATCTTACGTGATTCCACAGAATTTTCTCAGAATGCTCGTACTAACATTTTACTTTCTAGTTGTGCATTGCAGTTATCTCATGAACATACATGTAGGCTGAGCCCCCAGTAAAGCCCAGTCCCCTTGATCCTCACTAGCGACGCAAGCATAAGCATAAAAGAAGCTTATTCGCTAGTGAGGACGGCAATGACATGAGCATGCACATAAGAATATCAAAACCTTGCATTCTTCTCATGCTTCATCATGTACATGTATATCCCTATGTTGTTGTTGTGTCCAGTGACGACATGTTGGCATAAGTATTTATAAGCATTAGCCTAAGTGAAACACTTCAGCCAATCAGCGAGAACTAACGCTTACATGTATGTCAACATGTCCTCTCTGAACATAAGCATTATGTTGTGGCTGTCCTCACCAGCACATAAGCTTCTCATGTTTATGTCTATGCTTATGCTTTTGTCGCAAGTGAGGACTGGGTTTTACGATGCAAGCATAAGCATAAAAAGCTTAGTGCCGACAGCTGTGACATAAGCATTTAAGCGCACTTCTTATGCTTATGCTTACACATATGTTCAGTGAGGACATGGTTGCATAAGCATAAAGTGCTCAATGATTGGCTGAAAGTCTTACGTTTGTGCTCATGCTTATGCCAACATGTCCTCACTGGACACATAAGCATAAGCATAAGAGAAATGATATTGATATTCTTATGCTTATTCTCACATCACGGTTGTCCTCACTAGCGGATATTAAGCTTCTTTTATGCTGATGCTAATATGTTTATGCTGGCATTGCTAATGAGGACCCGGCTTAAAAAAACTCTTTACTAACTCGAACCAAAATTGATTTCCCCCAGATTGCTTTTGCTGCGATAGAAACTGGCTATTTATTTCCACCTCGATCCCAATAACTCAAACTCTTCATACTGTAGATCAAACCTTCCTTGATTTGCTTTAAAATTTGAGTTACAGGTGTATGGGAAATCAACCAAAGATGATTTTAGAGAAAGCTAATGACTACCTTTTACCGCCGAGTTCAAGAGTAACTCTTGTCAGGTTCTTTGCTGCTGCTTCCATGACCAGCTTACCCACAGCACTTCCACCGGTGTAAAATATTTTGTCAAATTTGCATTTCTTTAGCAAATACTGTGTTTCCTCCACTCCTCCATTGATCACAGTGAAGCAATCCTACAGAATGAATAGTTAGCATTAATTTTTTTTTATTTATTTACAGCTCAAATGATATACAGCTGTAATGTCACATGGAGATGTACATGCATACAAGTACATGTACTAAGAGTTAAACAATAATTATAATCTATTTTTCCTTGGCCAGTCTGTCATCATTACATGTATGTAGGTCCTGTTCACAACATGTACATGTAAAATTTATACAACAGAAAGAAAAAAAAAAATTTAGTTATTTAGTTCCTCTTATTGTCACAAACAAGACATTGCTCATTCATTTTCGCCTAAAAATCTGAGTTCCACTAATTAACAACAAAAGTAACAACAGGACTGAAATGAACAAGGATGACAGCACTTGAGAGAGTAACGGAAAACCTCTGTAACTCTGCACATAAAATTATAACAACAGGTATTACTGTATCCAACTTTATATTTTGCCAGTCACAAGCCATGTCTTCTTCCAGTATCCAGCGATATTAAGTCACCGAACTGGTAGCACTTGGCCAAATTTGGGCATGCTAAATTTATACCTTTTTGGGAGGCTATCATCTATGGCAATGTTCATAAGTTGCTCATTTGGTCACACCAATAGTATTTTGGCTTGAAACTTGGTTTAACCAATATTAGGTGTAAAAAGCAAACCCAGATACTGTTGGTGAAAACTAACTTGAACACAGCAGAAATTTCCTCCTAAATAACAATTTTTTTAAAAAATTAATTTTATTCTCAACTTCTCTGTCGACATACATGTTACATGTATGTAGTAAAATTATGAACAAACATGTGCACGT